GAGTCTTTCACAAACTTGCCAAGAGAACACTCTGTCCCATCCATCTGCGTGGAGAGATACCACAAGCTGCTGCTGGCTGACAGCTGGACTTGGCACTACTGACTGCATCTCCAAGCCCAACAGACCAGCTATTTCCCTACTCATTTTATGGCCACTTTATCTAGTCCGTACCTCCCCAGTTTGGTGATAACAAGCTGGCTCTGAGGTCTTACTGACATCGAAGTATACTATGTTGCCTGTCCACTGCATTTACTAGATCCGCCACTTCTCTGCCCTTAGAAAGAACGGCCTTGCTGCACCAGCTGCTCCAAATCCTTTCCTTGCCCTCTGCATGTTTAGAAAGTGCTTTTGAGATAACTTGCTTCACAGCCTCCACAGGGACTGAAGTTACGGTGACTGGCCTGTAGGTACTTGGATACAGTCACCTACTAGCCCTCTCTAAGGATGTATGTGATATTTGCCTTTTCCCAGTTGTCGTGAACCTCTCCAGTTGCCATGGCCTTTTGAAGACAACGGACAGCAGCTCTGCAATGACACTGGCCACCTCCTCCAGCACCCTTGTATGTAACCCATCTTGTCCGACAGACTTTTAAGGTCTAATTGTTGAACCGATTCCTAATTCCATCTTCTTCTACTGTGGTTACTATTTCAAGCCAGGGACCCATGAACCCCAAAGGTTAGGCCCTACCAGTCAAAACTGAGGCAAAAAAAAAGCGTTGAGCATCTCCATCTTTTCCATGTCCCTTGTCACTAGATCCCCATCCCCACCAATCAACACATGCTCTTACTTTTGCTAATGACACACTTAACAGAAAGTTCTTAATTGCTCATCAGCGCTCTTTGCGGCCTCAGCTCCAGCTGAACTTCGGCCTACTTTATCATGCTCCCAATACATAATCCATATACATAATACAATACCGTGTAGCCTCTCCCTCCTTCCACCTTCTGTACACTTCCTTTCTTTGTGTGAGCTCAGTCACAATCTCCACATTCATCCTTAAATAAGTGGTTGGAGAGTTGCAGCCAGAGTGTTTTTCAACAAATCTATGTTCAGGTGGAGGCAAGTGCCAAGTCATGTCCCTCAGGGGTCCATCTTGGGAGCAGGAGTTTTCAACATCTTTATCAAAAACACAGGTAGTAGAATCGAGCAGTATGTCCTCAGTAGGCTTGTTGATGACACCAAGATAAGTGATGCAGTTGACACAACAGAAGGAATGGATGAGATCCAATGGGAGCTGGACAAGCTTAAAAAGTGGTCCCACGTGAAAACTGAATGAGGTTCAACAAGGTCAAGTGAAAGGTGCTGCACCTGAGCTGGGGCAATCCCAGACGTGTTCAGGAAAAGTCACTGGGAGCAGCCCCACAGAGAAGGGCTTGGAATTCCTGTTGAACATATGCCAGCAGTGTGCGGTCACAGGCCAGAAGGCTCACTGTATCCTGGACTGTGGCAAAATAGGAGGGCTAACAGGACAAGGGAGGAAATTGTCCTCCCCCTACTCTGCCCTTTGAAAGTCCATCTGGAATACCACACACATTGCTGGGGCCTCCAGCACAAGATGTGGAGCTGTTGGAGTGGGGCCAGAGGAGGACCACAAAGATGACCAGAGCAGTGGAGCTCCAGTGAACAAAGGCTGAGGCAGCTGGACTTGTTCAGCTGAGGAAAAGATGACTCTAAGGACGATCTCAATGCAGCCTTCTAATACTTAGACTCTAATACTTAGAGTCATAAAAAGGAGGGAGACTGACTTTTTAGATAGTCTTACAGTAATAGGACAAGAGCAAATGGTTTTAAACTAAAAGAGGGGACATTTAAACTAGATACTAGGAGGAAGTTCTCTACTCAGAGACCAGTAAGGCACTGGAACACACTGCTCAGCAAAGCTGTAAATGCCAATCCCCTGACATGTTCAAAGTCAGGTTCATCTGCTCCCCAGGCAATATGATCAAATGGGTAGTAACTGTCCAATGCAAGAGGTTTTGGAATTAGATGATCTTTGAGATCCCTTCCCACCTAAGACATTCTATAATTCTGTGTTATTAACTAATTCTTCGTTCTGGTTGTGCACTGCATATTCAACTGAGCATCTCCACAAATGGTTGATCACTGTCTCAATTCTTTTTTTTTTTTTTTTTTTTTTCCATTTTAGAATAAGTCATTTAGATTGCCTACTCCCAGACTTTTTGGCATGGCTGATAACAACTTTGAATGCCAAGGCATAGGCTTGTGAGGTTTTCTGCAGCTGCCTAAAGAAGGCTTTGTCTTTCTCCTCTGCTCAATCAGTAGGTCTGTAGTTCACACCTACTACAACATCACCTATGTTGGTCTGTTCTCTTCACACACAAGCACTCTACTCATTTGTCATCTGACCTAAGCCAGATCCCCATGCAGTCAGGCTATGGCTTCATATTGAGCACAAGTCCTCTTCCCCTTTTTCCCAACCATCTTTTCTGAAGATCCTCCATTCATCCTTCATAACACTCTAGTCAGAAGAGCTTCCACTATGCTTCCAGAACTCCAATGACATCATAGTTCTGCAACTGTGGAAACTTATAATTTGTCCTGCTTGCTCTCCATGCGAGGTGCTTTCCTGCACAGATATCTGAGACATATCACAAGTTCTGCTTCATTTACAGAACAGTGAGACCACCCTCTGTCAAGTTTATTACTCAGGCACACCTGTTCTGACTCTTACGGCTTTGCCTCTTCAGGTTATGGTAACTCTACAGTTTAACACTCTCCTCAGTAGATGCATCTCCGCTGCCTGCAAGTAGCTATTAGTCTTTTCACCTTTTTGCAAGCACTAAATTCAGGATCAGCTGACACTGACAGGTATTGTTCACCCTCACCACTGTTCAGGGCATCATAACTACCCCGAAACTGGAAATCTGGAGGTGCAGCAAATCCACAAGATTCTAAGAAGTCACAAGCCTTTGCCATCTTTACAGTCTCTCTCCATTTGCCTCAGTGTCCAAATGGAGACAAGAGATGAGCAGTGTTCTTCAGGGATTAGTGCTGGGACCAGTGCTATTTAATATCTCTATGGGCAACATCAGCATACAGATCATGTACACCCTCAGCAAGTTTGCTGAGCACATCAAGCTGAGTGGTGCAGTTGACTTCTTAGAGGGAAGGGATGCCATCCAGAAGAACCTGAACAGACTGGAGAGAGGTGTGACCATGCCAACCTCATGAAGTTCAATAAGAACGAGTGCAAGGTCTTGCACCTGAGTTAGAGCAATCCCAACCACAAATATGCACTGGGTGGAGAATGACTTGAGAGCAGCTCTGAGGAGAAAGATTTGGGGGTGTTAGTTGATGAAAGATTCAACATGAGCCAGCAATGTGCATATGCAGCCCAGAAGGCTAACTGTATCCTCGGTTGCACCAAAAGAAGTGTAACCAACAGGTTAAGGGAGGTGATTCTGTCCCTCTACTCTCCTCTCTGGAGTAGTGTCCAGTTCTGAAGTCCACAAGACATCAGGCTGTTGGAGTGAGTCTAGAGGAGGGCTACAAATACGATCAGAGGGCTGGAGCTACTCCCCTACAGGGACAGGGTGAGAGAATTGGTGGTCTTAAGCCTGGACAAAAGAAGGCTCCAGGGGGACCTTACAAACAACCTTTTAGTACCTGAAGGGGGCTACAGGAAAGCCAGGGAGAAACCTTCTATAAGGGCACGTTGCAACAGGACAAGGAGAAATGGCTTTAAACTGGATGAGGGTATATGTAGACTAGATGTTAAGAAGAAGCTCTTTACTGTGAGTGGTGAGACACTGGGACAGGTTGCCCAGAGATCCTGTGGATGCCCCCTTCCTGAAGGTGTTCAAGGTCATCCTGGGTGGAGCTTTGAGCACTCCAGTCTTGTGGGAGACGTCCCTGCCTGTAGCAGGGGAGGTTGGAACTAGATGATCTTAAAGGTCTCTTCCAGCCTAAACCATTCTATGACTTCAGTACCCAAGTGCTGAAATGCAGAAAACAAAGGAGTCAGAAGTGTATATTCATTTAGGCCTCACCATTCAGAGGAAATAAATATGCACAATTCAGAGGAGAACCCCTTGAAAGAAAAACAAGTTATTCTAATGAATTAAAATGACCCAAGGAGAAAAAGAAGGTCCATCATTAAGTATCAAAACTACCCCTTATTTCAAATGGAGCACAAGAGCAACAGGATGAAGTCCTGTAGAAACCTCACAAACTATACAACTCGAAAGAGATTTCTCCACTTGACATTTTCACTGCTCATTTGTGCAAAACCAGTTTCAGGAAAGATTATTTGCTGACTAAACTCAGGGAGACAACTAACTTTGAGCAGCTGAACTAGACTGAAAGGACTATTCAAGATCATAGTGAACAATCCAGTATCTACTGAATTAAGTACAAAGTAAAAGCTTGTCCAAACTGAACATTTAGAAGGATAACCAAACCTATGTACATCAGGTTTAAAACTTATTTTATTAATGTTAGTAGACTTATCAAAGTTTACATGCCAAAAAGAAAAAGACAACAAAACAAACAGAGAGAAAAGAAACCAAAGACTAGACCAAATGATAATTATTTCTGGATTTCTGGTTTTCTGGGATTAACGTGGTTGACTTTAAGGTCGTTTTTGTTTTGTTTTGTTTTTACTTAATTTTTCTTGGTATTTCACCATCAACTACCATCAACGTAGAACTGTTTAATGAGGTTCTGAATTTACTTTTTTATTTGGATACAGCACTCTTCATAAACATTTGTGTTTCAACCAGAGTAGAGCTCTCCTTGATTTTTTCTGATCACCACGTGGTACAACTCCCAGCAGAAGCAATGACAGTGCCATACACACCACAGCACAATAATCTCGCACTGCATAATCTTTGTTTTCACTCTGCTCAGTACAGCTGTTGCCCCCAGGCTCAGAGACACATTGACTTGGATTTGGATTGCAGAGGGAAGCAGGTGAGTATAAAGCTAGGATAGAACAAAAGACAGCTAAAATAATTCATCCATTAGAACAGTAACATACCGTTACTCCAGATATAATTGGTGCTTTTCCTTCAATTAGTTTATATATTTCTTGAATTGCTTCCTCATCACTTTTTTCTTTAAATCGCTTCTTGGAGAGTTCCTGAAGAGCTTCTTTAAATTGTTCAAAACTAATAGTTCTAGAAGACTTTCCCCTGCCAAAACATACAGAAATTTAAAGAAATTATAAGAGAACACAACAAACACCCCAAGAATAGCAGAATATTCTTAGTTTACTATAGGGAATGAGAGAAAACCTAGCAGAAAAGAAAGAGCCATTTGCACCATTAATCAGCTCAATAAAACATCACTTTCTTTTTTATAAACATGAGTAGGATAACACTGAAATAATCCCACAGGTGTCAGTTCAGAAATAAAGAGGAACTAGAGGAAAGACTAGCAAGCTATCAGAACGTCTGTAGCTTAAAGAAAGACACTGATTGTCTGCAGATCTGTATTCGTTAAAAAAAAAAAAAAAAAAAAAAAAAAAAGCATCTTTGGTGAGGGTTTTTTTTTTATTTTTTGTTTGTTTGTTTGTTTGTTTGTTTTTTAATTCCTTAGCTGTCAAGAGGATGGGATCAGCTCTTTTCAGTGGTGCCCAGCAACAGGACAAGGGGCAAAGGGGACAAAGTAGAACACATGATGCTCCATCTGAACACAAGGTATTAATATAATACCTTTAATTATATCAACTTCTTTACGTTGAGGGTGATAAACCACTGGAACAAACTCCCCAGACAGGTTGTGAAGCTTCCCTTGGAGAGGCTCAAAACTTGCCTGGATGCTTTCCTATGCAGTCTACTGTAGGGAATCCACTTTAGCAGGGAGGCTGGACTAGATGATCTCCAGAGGACCCTTCTAACCCCTATGATTCTGTAATTCTTTGAATAACAGTTCATGTCACTTTATTCACAGGTTCAACGTGTTCACAATCAAATTTAAAATAGCAATTGGTGTTACCCATGCTAGTGTACCACTAGAAAGCTTAAAAATCCTCTTTTATCAGAGACAAATTTTGTAGTGATTAATTTGCATACAGTCCTTGTTTGCCTTCTTACCATCACCTTTGTAAAACATTCACATTCATGGAAAAAAATACAACAGTCTTACAAAGCCCCCAGAAATTCAGAGCTGAAGATTTCCTGTTGTATTCACCAATGGGAAGCCCATATTCCCACACTGGTAAGTATTTGCTTAGGTTTTGTTCCAAAGGAAAGGATTTTGCTAAAACAACTTCTCCTATTTAGTAAATTACAGACTCCCTGATCTTCAAATGAATTTACACATTAAAATTTATGCATTAGTTTTAAGCTAAAATTCAGCAGGTCAAATAGAAAAATTTCCAAAAAGATGTTTTGACTGACACTAAAAATGGTACTAATTAAGGCTACAGCAGAGTAATAGATGATTTTTTGATTGCTTATGAAATAAGGAAACCCTTGAAGTCAAATCCACGTTGCTGGGAAGCATGCTACTACATCAGACTTGTTTGCAGCCTAAGCATTTATTTTATGTCAATTTGGACAGCATCTCTACCAAATAAGCAAAAAAATAAAAAACCCAGACAATCCTTTTAGCAGTGACAGCTGTTTATCAAGAAGTAAACGATGGATGCAAGCATAGGGAAAGCATGCACTGGCAACGGAGAAATCAAGCTTGAAAAACTACAAATTTAATTTAAATTCAACTGTCACAAAAAGTCACAGCCCAGAGTGAGTCAGATGTTTTTTCTTTCTTTTCTACTTTCATTTCAGACATACTCAGGGGTCAAATCACATTCAAACACAATACTGACTCCACTAACAAAAGGGAAAAGGAAGATTTCACAGTTTAAGATGCCAACAGTTCGGAAATAAATCCTATGTCAATTAACACAAAGTGAAGCCTCGTCTTTTTCTTTTTTTTAATAAAAAAGAAAAATTATTTATTTACAACAAAATGCCAGCCTTCGCACAACCCTTTATATAACAGTTCACTGGTGGTGGAGCTGTGCTGGAGATGAAAGACACATGTAGCAAACCCCTACTATCAGTACTACCAATTCTAGGCAAAAATAAACTGTATATTTTGATCAAATTCTGCTTTCTGCAAGCACTTGTCTGTTTCAAGTGAAGTCCGTTCTGGATTATCTCATGGAATTAGCTAGTAAAAGAACACAGTGACAGTGGAAACAAAGAATACAATCCAACATTTCATTAATCAGAAAAAACACACTGCACACAGTGCAATTAACTGCTTGGAATTCATCCAGAACTCTCATTAATAGGATTAACATCCTTCTGATGATGATACATGTTCAAGAACTTCTAACTAGCTCAAGAGGTCAAGACTTCGTATTTGTGTACCTCTTATTTAGAGAAAGACTACATTGGCAATCACCACAAAGCTTCAGCATAAGGCCACACTAAGGCCCTTGTTCAGTAAAGATTCAAAGCCAAATCCACCACGAAGACCTTTCACATGCAACTTTCTGTATCACAGATGTTACCTGGAAGTCAACAATCAGCACTGCTACAGCTTAACCTGGATCACCAATCAGGAACACCTTAGGAAACTCCCAGAAGTTAATTTTTATGCTCACAACAATTCCTTCCTAAAGGCACTCTACTCAGGTGTACTATTTTTGTTGCCTTTTTGTTGCTTGTTTTGTTGCCTGCTCCCTCCCTACCTTCCTTTATAATCCCATTCACAGTTCTGGGGTTTGCACTTCAAAGGCAGAAGTTTTTGAAATGTAAAGGGCAGGGGAAGATAAAGTTCAGAAAGGAATGGAAAACATTAACAATAGAGGGCATGTGGAAAAAGAAAGCTTTCATGAAAACACAAGCATCATAAAAGTGGTCTCTGCAATGAAAAGTAAAAAATATGTACAAAAGGGAGACTAATAACATAATTTTTTTAAGCCTTGTGCTTAACTATGAGACAAAGACACCTTTAGGTATAGGAAGGATAAGCCACGGCATTCTATTCTAAGCTACACTTCCTATAACAAACAGAAATATCCAAACGCATCACCCTTCACTGGAGGAAAGCATATCCATGGTACACATTAAATTTCTTTCCAACTGCCCCTACATTTGGGAACAGACCAATGGTATTAAGAAAAATGTCTGGAAGGTGCCCTTTATTCTCCCTTTCTTGATGGATCTCTCCACATGTGACACTAGATTCTGAAATAAAGTTTTAATTCCTCAGTTTATTTTTGAGGTCCAGGTTCATATACCACGGAATCACAGAATGGCCTGGGTTGCAAAGGAGCTCCATGCTCATCCAGTTCCAACCCCCTGTTATGTGCAGGGTTGCCAACCAGCAGACCAGGCTGCCCAGAGCCACATCCAGCCTGGCCTTGAATGCCTGCAGGGATGGGGCATCCACAGCCTCCTTGGGCAACCTGTTCCAGTGCCTCACCACCCTCTGGGGGAAAAACTTCCTCCTGATATCCAACCTAAACCTCCCCTGTCTCAGTTTAAAACCATTCCCCTTGTCCTATCACCATCCACCCTCACAAACAGCCATTCCCCCTCCTGTTTATACACTCCGTTCAGGCACTGGAAGGCCACCATGAGGTCTTCAATAGGTTTTCATGGGCCCACTTCTCCAGCCTGTCAGGTCTCTCTGGATGGCTTCCCTTCCCTCCAGTGCATCGACTGTACCGCTCAGCTTGGTGTCTTATGTAAAACAATTATCAGTTCCAAGCCTGGACATCAGAGTAACAAACATAAAATACAAAAGATCAAGCACCGGCCCAAAGCAAGTTGTAATAGCAAATGACACAATATTTATTTGGAAATGTTATTACTAACATTGTCACAGGATAACAAGATTAGTCCAGAGTAATGTGAGAATTTACTGCTGCAAATTGATACTTCTATACTATTCTACGTTATTTGGACCTGTACACTGAACTAACAAGTGACTACTAGATAATTACACTCCATATAACCCACAAACAAAATTCTCAACCAGTAACGGAAATCTATCTGCAGTAACACTATTTCAGTTAGCTGTTACTACAGCAGTCTCCAATTTAACAGTTTTCTGTCTAAATCTCTAATCTACAAAAAGTCATCCCATACCATTTGCTAATCATGTTTCATTTTTCTTAGATTCAAAAGGGGAAAGGATGGTGTAGAAACAGTGAAAGAAGCTTCTAGTCTTGCTATCATGCCAGGAAGGACTACAGCAGTATAAACTAATTGGCACTGTTTAGTGTTGGCAGTTGTCACCTGATTAGAAAGTTTGGGTCTGTGGAATATGGAAAGTCTGACATAGGTCTGGAGGCAGCATAATTACAGATGGAAGTACAACAAATGTTTCTGAATAAACTTTTTTTCAATGAATTTTGTTCCTAAGGTTTACTTACTCCAAATTCACCGACTTGCATGTGTCAGCCAATTCAGATGTCACTAAAAATGTGACCACATTCTCCCCTGTAAATCTGAGTACCTTCAATTGTGAATACTCCCCATATTTATGCCCTTCCCAAAGAAGATAAAAATGAAGGATTGCTCTGGTAACAGAATGCCCAAATGGCTTATCTGTCACAGTTTCTGACTTACTGGCATGGTAAGTTTAATTGGAAAGTTCTAATGTGCCACTCCTGCTCTCACATTCTTCTAAATCATTCCTCCATTAAGAATTAATATCTAAATAATCCAAATTAATCATGTAATGGTATCACATTCAATAGCAAACTTTACAACTCCAGCCAAAAATCTTCATCAATAAACATCTACCAGAATTATTCCCTAAATCCTAACAAAACCAAATGTGTTGATAACATTCACAGCAGACTACAAGACATGCCTTTTCCTCAAATCTCTAGTGAATGAGATTTTCTAACAAAACTCAGATTTCAAACTTGGGCTGAATCTGCTCTATCCTTAAATAGAAAAACAAATCTGAACTTAGAAACATGAGAAATGTGGCTGCTTAACAAACAACACTGTAATGAGAGAGAGAAAGAAAAAGAAACATGCTTCTAGTTTATTTCTCTTGTATTAAATTAGAAAAAACAGACAGATCTTGTTCAATTTGTCAGTAGAAATCTGCTAAAGTAAAACTCACTACAGCTGGAAACTCACTGATTTTCACGTGCCAACAGAATTTTCTATTTGCAAATACAACTACAGAGAGAGGGCAGAAGACACTGCCGTAC